TACGTCCAGGCCCAGGTGCGCGAAGGCCCCGACGCCCCCAGCAGGGCGCGCTTCTGCTGCCCCCGAAGCCGGGAGCCCGCCCCGCCCGGCGCAGCCGGGGGGCGCCGCTTGGGGCGGCAGCACCGGGGGAAGAGGCAGGCAGGGTAGTGCGAAGCCCAGCCTAATCACTCCTTTGGGGAAGAGAGCGCTTAGAGTTGGCGGTACGGTAGTCATCCGTAGAGCAGCATCCAGTAAGGCAGGATGGAGATACTGCGGGTGGCAAGTTTCTCCCTTAGCCAGCCAGCTGGCACCCAGGAACTTGGGCCCCCTCTACACATATCAGCTAACTCCCAGAATTTCCCAATTACAGTGGTGGATGTTTGGAGCCCGAACATCAGGTTGGAGGAATGTGCCATATTAGCACAGAAAGGGAAGATACTGAGTTGACAAAAGGCAGTGCTGTGCAGTGATGCAAAGTTTTGAGAGTTGGGTAACAGACTTTAGTCTGTATGAGCTGGTAATGACAGAACATTGCAGTATGGATGGTGTTTCAGTGTTGACAGATGCATTCTTTAAACAGAGTTCACTGATCTGTTGTAAGCTTTGACCAGACAGAAGTGTTGCCTGATCAGTTCCTCAAAGTTACTAACCTATGGGATAAACAGTGTTTTGAGATGTGCTAATAAAAGAGGCCTAGTGAAGGGAGGTTGGAATGCTCTTAATCCTCCTTTGCCATCATGTCACGAATCAAAATAACAAATTTATTTATTTATTAAATTTATGTGAACTTTGCCATTCAGAATGATTTTCTTCCTACCTCATCCTGGAAACCTGCAAAGGAAGTATCTAGGCAGCATAAAAGTTCAGGGGGATGGGGTGGGGTGGTAACAATCTATCATGCTGGGTGTGTTTGCTGCCATCAACTCTGTTTGTGTTGGTCATCAAGGAAATTGATGTTTCCTTGCTGTTCTATCTAGCATAGCAGGCTGGCAGTAGAGGGAACTTTCGCAGCCACACGTCTTGGTTTCTGTGTTGCACAAATGGGAAGGAGCTTTACCTCCTACACAGCCAGACTGGAAACATAAGGAGCTTCTGGATAAAGTACATAGTGCTCTGTTGGAAGCAGAAGCAACTTTTCCATCCCCAGCATGGAAATATCATGTGCTGCTGAAGGCAGGGTTGAATGAATTGTCTCTGCCAGTTCAGTTATTCACTGGGTCACTCTAGGCAACTAGGAATTTTATGCATTACATTATTAAAAATTCCTTTATTTTGGTACCTCCTGCCAAATAATAATATTGAGCAGTAGGAGTCATTCTTAACAATGTCCTCTTCAAATTATGCCTCCAACTGCCCAATAATAACATTGTCCTTAAAATGATAGAATTGAATACTTAATGCAATGTTTTGGATACATTGCAGTTTTTATTGCGCCTAGTGGGTAAAATTGACATAATGTAAAACGCTTGCTTCCCAGGAGTTGCCTCTAAATAAGGCATGAAATGATTCTAGTATTTGAAATGATTCTAATATTTGCATTCGATGCAGCTCATACAATATTTGCTTCTGAATGACCCCATATTTCTCGTAAGTAATTTCAGTTTTAGGTTATCTATTTTGTGCCATTCATCATTTTAAAAAATAACCCATTTGTCTCCTCGTGTTTTGTAGAATAATTTGGGTATCCTCTGGTCAGAAAGAGATGACATTAAAACAGCACAGACTTACTTGGAATCTGCAGAGGCTTTATATAATCAGTACATGAAAGAGGTAATATGTGAATGAGTTTACTTAATAATTTTGCAGTATGCCTTGGATATTTATGTGGATAATCAAGATTTCTGAGAAAATGTATGGCAGGATTTTAAAAATATTTTCCTCTTGTGTGTCATTCTTTTGAAAATTGATAGTTAAAGCTAGCCGGAATATTAAGTGTTCCAGGGTCAAAAAATTAGTAACATTTAAACATCTGTTCAGTACAAATAATTGATTAGAATATTAGCATCAGTGCAAGACTAAAATTGTATTAACATTCTAAACATTTTAGCCATTAAAGCATTTCTGAAATAGTCTCATTGATGCTTCTGCTACTAATTTTACTAATTGTATTGAAATATTCTAACAACAGTATAGATCTATTGTTGTATGGCTGTTATGCTACAAAGAACAAGCAAATGTCATTGTCTTTTTTATAAAGCACCTTCTAATGGGCTAAATTCATCATGCATTACAAGCAGTTGATTCTGTTATATTGTTGCATTAGCACAATGGGCCCCTTATTATAGCCTCTAAGGCTCTGTTTATATATGTAGCCACCTCAGGAGACATTTCCAGACATATTTTAATGAAATATAGTATAGAAAATTGGTGAATAAATGAACATGGATGCTGAATATATTTCACTTGGTTTGTGTTATTGCTGTTCAGATCTTACCTAACTGAATTTTCTTTCAACTAGAAATAACACAGACATCAATTCTTCAGAAATCTATATTTTTAATGGGTTTCTTTGCCAGGCTTCATCTTTTATTTTTTAGCTCATTACTGGTCTTATCCATACCAGATCTGTTATTCTCTTTATGTCAGTCCATGCCATAGTGGTTGTCCAAGTTCAACAGGATTATGCCCGATTGGATGCTCCTTAGTACCACAGGTTAAAAAAGCATTCCATTTGGACGTTTCTGACTGTTATTTGTTTTACAAATGTTTAGCCTGCCTTTCATTCTGGCGGATTACCAAGCCATGTACTTTAATAAAAACTGTTACTTAGCACAGCAATATATGTTTAATGAGAGAGAGAACATAACAAGCAATACAAGGAACAGAAGAGAAGCTTTGCAGCCAACATAAAGTTAAAATACAGTTGTTCTGACCTTTTGCTAGAAAGATCGAGTATCAGTATCTGTTCCAGTTGTCCTTATTTAAGTTGGAAGATTTCAAAATCAAGTTGCAGTCACAAGCAAGGCTCATTATACATTCATGTCATATATTAGTAAATAATGGTACACTTGGAAAAAGCCTCATCTAGATATTTTAATCTAAAGCCAGGATAGAATGGGAGGAAGTGCCCATTGTGGGATGTAGATCCTTGAAATCACAAGTTAATTTGTGGGATTTACTGGAGCATTATCAAACATAGCATTATTAATACATAATTTGTATTGTTTTGTTTAATATGCAAATCAAGTCAAGTATTAAATACATTTATTATTAGAATATTATTGCTATATTGAAGATATGTGAATAGGTGATTGGTTCTGTCAGATCTACATGCTGAAAGTACTATTCACTGATTCTTTTTATTCTATGTGAACCATTGTGTATAGTTAGAACTGCTAAATGTGAAGTGCCCGTCATTGCAGTCATCTGATAGTGAAATATTCCAGAACTTGGGTAAACTTCCTTTATTTCTATCTTGTTACATTTCCTGAGATGCATTTGTTTGAAATAGTGTTTCTGTTAGGCACTGAGGTGGGCACTCTAATGAGTGACCGCATTGGGGGGAGGCTTGCCTGGTTCCCAAATGGGTGTCATCATGAGGGCAGCTGGTCATGGGAAGTGCTTCTAACTGATGGCAGACTGGTGAGATTTCTCCCTACTACCTCTTGAGCTTTCTAGGATGTTCTCAACTTCCTAAGGTTATGTTTTATTTTTTATGAAATGCTTAAGCATATCTCCAAATAAAGCATTGAAATATAATAAACCAACTTTTTTTTTAAGTCTATAAACTATATGGAATCAAGTAGGAATTCTTGTAGATAAGATTATGCTTGATGCTAATGTTTTGCTTTTCAGTATGCCAACTTTTCAGTTATTTATTTTTACCATCTTAAATACTTAATGGCAGGAAACCTGAAAAGTAGGAAGGGAAGAGGTCCATATTCATATTGATATTTCTGGGTGCTAGATTACCTGTCCTTGATTTAAAAATGTTATCTTTCTATCAGTACTCCATTGTTTGAGTGGGGGAAACAGGAATATATGTTAAACCCATGTGGCTACCAGCATCTGCTGTGCAATAAAGCTTAGTGATCTGGACATGTAAAAGAGCCTGTGAAATGATTGTGTTGATTTGTTGTTTTATTTTTTACCTCTGTGTACGTGGTTTTTTTTAATTGGTATGTGTTTCATAGTGTCTTTAACTGTTGTTAGCTGCCCAGGTTCATGAATTTGAGATGGGTGGCCATATAAATTGAAATAAATAAATAAGCTTTTTTTCCCCCTGAAGGTATTTTCAGAGCTTTAATTTCTGGTATTTAATTTTGTTCATACATTTTGGGATGACTCCTCCTATTCTCCTCCTAGTTCTACATTTGCTTTGTCGTAGTACCCAAATGCAGCCAGCAGAGTGAGCACAAGTTTGCTGTATATATTACCTTCAGCACATGCTATGTTTTGCAGAATGGGAACCCTCCACTTGATTCCAGTGAACATTTTATGACAGAAGAAGAGAAACTCTCAGACCAAGAGCGATCAAAAAGGTGGGTGAACTAAAGCATAAGATGGAAATTGGTGAGAGAGTTTATTTCTTATCATTAAAACTAAGCCACTGTTTCCCCAGGTTTGAGAAAGTCTATACTCATACACTGTATTATCTGGCCCAAGTCTACCAACACCTGGAAATGATTGAGAAAGCTGCACAGTATTGCCATACCACTCTCAAACGGCAGCTTGAGTATAGTGGTTACTACCCAATAGAATGGGCTCTCAATGCAGCCACTTTGTCTCAATATTATCTCACCAAGGTAATTATTTCAATGTTCTCTTCTGCATATCTTATGTGTTAATCATGATATTAAAGGGATGGTCCTTATTGGCAGGCATTAGGTTCCGTCTGGACTCACCTGGTTGAACTGGATTCCTATTAAAATAATTTTGTCAAAGCAAATAAGTCTGAAATTGATTTGCAGTTACATAACTTACTTTCCTACATTTGCACAAAGCTGATTCAGTAACATATGATAACCAGAAGTATTCAATAAGAGTAGCTATGAAATCTCAAAATAAGTTTCATACTGTGTTTATTAAACATTTTTATTTGTTGAGAAGGAGTTTCCTTCAGTATTGGGGCAAACTTACATACTGTTAAATTGCCAAATATTAAAGGATATGTCAGAGTAGCAGGTTTTTTGAAGACTGTGATATAAGAATGGACGCACATATTTGGGTCCACACATCCTCACACATGGATCAGTAAATTATTGCTGCAGAACTGATCTTAGATTTTAGGATATAGGAAGCATGTTATATACTCTTCCCTTGACAAAAGTAACTAAGGCTGGAGCATAGTGCTTACTTGCCTATGATTGAGTCCCACTGGATCACAGTGAAATTTATTTATAGGTAAGTATAGGATTGCAGGTTTTTGGTGACAAGCATACAAAAAATACACACTTCCATTTTTGAATGATATTCTCTTTTGGAGCAATTTTCTGCAGGCACAATTTCATTTGCTGTCTGGTTTTTCAGCACCCAGTGCTATTAGGTCAAGCCACATAGTAGGTCATCCAATTTCAGAACGCTAATATTTAAGTATTATACAATTAAATGAAAACTAGGAGCTTATTATGGGCCAGGAACAAGCACTATTATATCATTTTCCCACAGCAGTGTTTCATGGAATCTAGGCATTGTTTAGCAGCTGCCAGTGTCATCTTTGGCCAAGCTGGACAGGTGTCATCTGCAGAGGACAGTAAGTTATCTCATTCCAGTTTGAGCTGGGGTGACTTTGATTTTGGCTTAGTGTGGATGCTAAATGCCTTGGGTTTTTTTCATGATTTTAGTCATTGTTCTCCCCTTCATTCTGTCTATAATCCAATCAATTTCTCTGTCCCATTGATTTTTGTAGGATTAAAGAATGAGGCTACAGTTCAGAAAAAAAGTAAAAATACTCCTTCCCCTTTACTAAGTTAGAATTTCTATGGATAACTTATAAATGTTTTTGCTCCCACATTTCTCCTGCATTAGCCACTAGGAGTCAAAATGGTCAGAGGGAGTAATGGCAACTTGAGAGGGAATTTCACCATGAGCAAAACCTACTGCTGTAGCCGCCATTTCCTCTGAGAACTTCCATGGCTCAGGGATTAAGTAACAGGATAGCATCTGAATTATCTGAGATCAAGGGAAACATATATGCTTTTGGCTATCCCTAGTAATTCTTACATTATCCTAAATGGTCAGATACATTGAGAAGGTTGGTTATAAGTACTCCAAATAAAACTTTATTTTCACTATTGCGCTTATATCAGTGTGAAGTTTTTGGTGCAGAACTAGGCTAGTGCCATGCTAAGGGGGAAAATGGCTTTGCTATTTTGCCTTTAGGCAGAAGGAAGAAAGAAAACATTTAGTAGCTTCCTTTGTTAGTATAATTTATGTTGGCAACACACTCTACTTGTTTTATTTTATTTTTTTACTTAGAGGAGTGTTAATATAGAAATTGATTAAAACTATTTTAATCCTATTAGGAAAACTCTTTCACTTCCAAATTGTGTTTACATCCTGGCTTTCCCAAACAGAAATTATCAGAGCAAGGAAGTTCATGAAATGGTTTGATCAATGTTATTGTATGGAATAGCTTCAGAATCAGATTTTGGCTACAGGTTAGCCTTTCGTTATAACCATTTTATAGCTATTAAGAATGAAAATTATTTCATTTTAGGTAATCTTGAAATGACAGGGTGTTTTTTTCTTGAGGAAGCTTTTCCAAGCCTAGCTGGGAACTAGGTTAACATATGCTATATTTTAAAATCAGATGAATCAGAACAAGACCAGCAAGATCTTCGACAGAGGAAAGCTGAAATTGCAAGATGTTGGATTAAATACTGTTTGAACCTGTTACAGGGGGCCCGAAAGCTGCTTGAGGTATGCAAAGGAAAATATGCAAATAACTATTATTTTTATTGTTGCTGTTTACAGTTGTAACTAACCCTAAACCACTGCATGTCTCTTAATGAAGTTGAGGCCTTAAGATAAAGAGAAGGAGCCTATTCCATCCTAGCACTACATTACTTTATGACTAATTGGGCAGCAGTTCTGTACCAGTGTGGGTTAGGGCAAGGGAAAAAACTTGAATGTTTTTCTCATACATAATGTTTATTCTCACATCTTACATGCTTATTCATTTATTCCTGCCACTAAGCACAGTACAAACATCTCATTCACAACTCTTCCCCCCTCCCCCCCATGCAGCAGACATACAAGAAGCCTGTTTGCTATGGGAGGGGATGGCAGTGGAGCAGAAGTGGAATTTAGGTTTTAAAAGAGGAAAAAGTTTCCCATTGGCTACATTGAGAAGCTTGTTCCAAGCCTAATTTCTCTGATGGAGAGTAAGAAGGGGAGGCTGTGGGCCAGCTGCGGATGCTTATAGGCCACAAATTGCTCATCCCAATAGTATGTTAAATCTGTTACATCTACAAAGATGTAGCTAGTCGAGAGGTGCTGGAAACTAAATGTAGCCTTTAAAATGGTGTACAGACTTCTGCTTCAGTAATAGACTGTTAATGGTGTGTCTGAATGCATTTTTAGTGTACATGTACCTAACTATAACTGCAAAAAGTCAACACAGAGTACATTTAAAAGTTAAAGGAAAAATATGTGAATGTGCGATGGTAGATTTTGCCTACTCCATGAATTTTGAGTTTAAAGGGGTGTCTTAAATTATTTTTGCTTTCACCCTAGTAATTAGTCATGTCATCTTGATTTCTTCATGGGATATTATGCTTTACTGATCCTGTGTCTAAATCCACATCTAGAAATTGAAAAAGAATTCTCATGCAGAACTGCAAGACTATATAGCAGTGTTAGGTGCACCTAAAGCAATTTACTCTTAGCAAAAGTACCACTTTCTTGTTAAAAGAACAGTATTTGTACAGAATGGTAATGTGACCATTAACCGGCTCACATTGCTCAGATTGCTTTTCCAGGCTCCTCCTGCTAGCGAGCATAGCCAACAACTGCTCCCTCTGTGATTTGTTTCCTAAGTCATACAAAAGAGGAGTTTTGGCTTATTTCTCTTGAAAGATTGAAAACCAAAAGGATCAAATTTGAATATCTAGTACATACAACACAGTAAATAAATCATGGCTTCAGGTAAAACCAGGGGGCACAATAAAATCAGCATGCATAAGGCGGGACTCATTCATAGTTGCCTATTAATTTCTTTTCAGGCAGGATGGATACTTGTCAGGCAATCAAAATGTTCCAGGTATCTCGGCAGATGTGAACATGTCAGCATTTCACATGTATTTACAGGAGCTGCAAATGTGAAGTGTGCTGCCTTGTGAGATTTTCCTTTAGATGTAATTGTTACAAGTCTTAATTCATCAATTGTAATACGTCATGGTGTATTGGTAATAGGTAAACAAAAGTCACAGGGATATAGTATATATCTCACAACTAAGGTATATCAAAATTATGGATTGGGAATCAAATAGCAAAGAGGGAATGTGGTCTGTGTTAACCCTTTCTGACTTAATTCATGCTCTGCAGTAATTCAAGTGAAGTCTGAGAAACTTTCATAATGCGTAGTTAGAGAATTGTTGCAGATTCTTTTAAATTGCACCCTTAAATGAAAAGATAGGAGACTCCTTGTGAGGAGAAAAAAAAATGAATCAGTGTATTTGAAACTATACATCCAAAATTGGGGAAGTCTTTTATTATACTAAGAACTTAGAGCTTGTTCTTATGTAAGGAATTAATTTATCAGTTCTGTGACATTTAAGCCATTATGGTAAAATCATTTGTGTTAGTTGTTCTCGTTTTAGGACAACATTGGTGAGCTGGATCCAGACAGGCAATTGGAACTTAGAGCCCAGCAGAAAAAAGAGGAGGATGAGAAGGAGAAAGGAAGAAAGAAGGCTGTTCTTTTTGGAACTAGTGATTTGTGTGATTCTATTTTGGCCATGGAAGAGAAAGTGAGTTGTGTGTTTCCATTAGACTTCAAAGAAGCCAGAGACGTCTTCTTAGTAGGTCAGAATTATGTCAATGAAGCAAAAGAGTTCTTTCAGGTAGATGGGTATGTCACTGATCACATTGAAATTGTTCAAGACCACAGTGCTTTATTCAAAGTGCTGGCTTTCTTTGAAGAAGATTTTGAGAGGCGTTGCAAGATGCATAAGCGTAGGATAGACATGCTGGAGCCTCTGTACTCAGGCTTAAACCCTCACTATTATCTGCTGCTCAGTAGGCAACTTCAGTTTGAATTGGCAGATACCTATTATGAGATGATGGATTTAAAAGTGGCTATTGGCAATAAACTAGAGGAGCTTGACTCTCACACAATAAAGAAAATAAATTCTCTTGCTCAGATGGCCATAAAATTCTATGAACTCTTCTTAGATTCACTGAGGAACCCCGATAAGATTTTCCCAGAGACACTTGAGGAAGATGTTCTTCGTCCTGCAATGGTGGCCAAATTTCATATTGCACGCCTTTATGGCAAGCTTATTACTTCAGATGGCAAAAAGCAGTTGGAGAATATGCAGACTTCCTTGGAATATTACTCATTTCTAGTAGACTACTGTGAGAAGCACACAGATGCAATCCAAGCCATTGAAACTGAGCTAGAACTGAGTAAAGAAATGGTTGGCCTTCTTCCAGCTAGAATGGAAAGGCTGAGAGCAAAGCTTTCAACTTTCACCTAAATTCTTTATTCCCATGGCAGTGTGCAATATTAACATCATGTTTGTCCAAAGAGACAGGGTCCCTTTATGGCATTTCCTTGTAGTAATCCAGCAACTTTTCTTGCAAGCACCTGCTGTGACAAGCAGCATGGAACCTGTTTCAGATTGAAAACTGTCCAACATAGTAGCTCTCCCACCCTTCGATATTAAATATACAGTGAGTGGTCAACTGATGCTCTGTATTACTTGTGCCCTTCTGACATGCAAGCCTTCCTGCCTTATTTTTCTCCCTCCACTGCATGGCCAGTTTTCAACTGCAGGGCTGTTTTCCAGCTGTTTCCTATAATAGGGAATGCGTGGGGTAGATTGCATGGCCCTGGCCATCACCATAACCTAGGCATTTGGCTATGTGGCACTGATATAATTTTAGATTTATCTTTAGATTTTGGTTAACAAATCACTAATTTAATTGTGTCATGTTTATTTTTGTATATGTTGTACCTCCACCCCGTTTTAAAGGAATCCATAAATAAACATCCTTGATGGTACATTATCTTGGCATCTTCTGTGTGTGAATTAATCTGTTCAGATCAGTGGAAACCTTCTCTTAATTTTTCTCCATAAGTGAGATTTTAATATTCCTTTCTATTCAACCATAGGTCAGGGCCCTTTTTTCACCATGTCCGGAAAAATACAAAATAACAATTCATTTGTTCTCACTTTGCATAATTCTAGTCATGGGAAAGATATTTAAAGGAGAGAGAGAGAGAGAGGTTGGGAAAAGCCCCACCTTAGATCCTCAGGGAATCTGATGTTTTTAATTGATAAATTATTTATTTATACCTACCTACCTCCCCAATTGCTGGACAGAAAAGTGGAGAACAATATAGGGTTTTACATTGTGTAGTTACATTTCAACTTAAGATATTTCTCATGCATTTTAAAGCCTCTCTTCTATACATTAGAAGTTATGTATACTCCAGTTCTCTAGAAGGTGATCTTTGTGCTCAAGTGCTTGTACTGCAAAGGTGTGTAATTGTGTTAAAGTTAAGAGAAATAGATTCTTAGCCTGTTAAGTAAACAGCCTGGGGAAAAATAATCAAAATCTTCAAAGAGACCTTCTTGCTTAACTCTAATAGAGATGGGCTGGAGGGTTCTTGTCTCAGTTCTCAGGATTCTGTACTTTCTCCTAATTCTTAAAACTCTTTAAAGTAAATTTCTATGAATCTTGCTTCCTTGACCATGCTCTGCACATAAGGAGCTTGACAGAGTTACAGAACATATTTAGCTTTATTTATGTTTGTTATATTTTTATACCACTCTATATCCCAAGCACTCAAGTATAAGAGTATAAACTTTACTTAGTTCTTGTAGCAGTAATGCTGAGCCTGTAGGGTGAAAGGTTGAGGTCTCAACCATCATCTTCCAGAAGTCCTCTGAGGCTGCATATCCTAGCTCCACCCCCATTCCTCAATGCGTAGCTTGGTAGTTGCTTCTGCCACCATTTGTCTCCCATGGGACACTATGCTTAACTTGGACATGTGAGAGAAATAGGTCTCCCATAACCTGTTACTTTTCTGGCACATTAAAAGAGGAGACATAAGAAATGAAATAACTCACACAGTGTCACCTCTTGCCCTGTAGCACTGACACATGTGGCTAGGGACATCTGGCCTTCTTTCCCTTTCCCTTATATTTTCTCTTTTGCAAAATAGACCACTCACAAAATAAAATCAGTCTTTATTTTTTAAAAAAGGAAAGAATGTAAAAATCTCTGTCTTTTTTACACAAGCAATCAAAAGGTATAAACAAAAGGAGATGAACGTATAGGTTTGTTCAAATTACAGGTAGTGATGTAACAGGATATTCCATAGAGAAATATAAAGGAACCTCTAAGGCAGACCACACGATAGTGCTGATCTGCTCCTATATTGTAGAGGCCACTCGGCTGTAAAGGGATTCTAAGTTGCGTACAACATAGTATCGCTATGCTTGTACTGAGAACATAAGCGTCAGAGACAAAATATTAGACATTAAACACGAATAAAAGCAAAACAACCCTTCCCACCAGGTGTCAGACCAAAACTATTAGCCTCCTGATTTAACCCCCATCCTAGCCTAACGCTTGGGGAAGAGCCACATCTTCATGGCCTTCCAGAAGGCTAAAAAAGTAAGCCCAGAATTTAATTAATTCTGAGGCTGCTGGGAAGATGGAACAAACCCAGTTTCTCTTCTCAGCCTTGGTTCCCAACCTCTTCCTCTGTTTTCAAAAGACAAATAATTTTTCTTTCTAGCAGAAGGGAGGAGTTTGGAGGAGCTAATTCCCCCACCTATGTGATCTCTAGCCATGCCTCAGACAGCTTGAATGTCTATTGAGACTCTGAGATGCTGCTGTGGGGTGGGGGCTTGTCTGCCTAGTCACTACAGTAGTAATTTCAGGGTGTCTACAGCTTCCAATATGCATGACGTGCATTTCTTTACTGACAGGCTTTCTATAGAAATGAGGGCAGTTACTAATACCTTAGTAACTTAGCACTGATACTTACTTTCTTTCTGGTGCCTCTGTTATTGAAACCATCATCAGCCCATACTGGAAGAGAGAACATTCTGCAAGCACTATGGAAGTGCTTAGATGCTTTCTTTAATTTAGGGAGCCTGAAGAACAAGGAGGCCCAAGTGACAAGTCTTAACGGATTGAGGGAGCTGAAACAATAATGCCTTAACCTTTTCCTGGGAAGGCGAAAAGTACCTCAGCAGCTAGGAGAGATTTTTTTAAAACTTTCCATTTGTAAATATATTCATGAGCTCAACTGGTTGAGTAGGGATGCACAAAATGGTTCACATACAACCAGTTCTCTGCGTGGAATACCTGGTTTGAAGTGGCTTGCATCCAAGCTGAAACATGAATGGTTCAGAGGCAAAATGAAATGTGGTTCTCTCCCAGTTGCAAATGGTTGTTCCAGACAAAAATTTTTGGGTACAAGCATGGTACAAAGCTAGGGTTAAGGGTTTCCTTGGTGACAGCAAGGAAATGATTAATCAGTATCAGTATTAATCTGATGGAGGGGGCAATGAAAGATAACAGGGAATTAATCCATCATGCAGCTTCTGTGAACTTAGGAAGGACTTGTGGGTCCACAGAAGAACTTTCTCCCTATTTGCCTCAATGGACATTGAAGGCAGATACTGATGATTGGGAGAAAAGGTATTAGGAAAATCTGGTGTCCTGCAGGTTGGTGGAATATGCCACACTGGGATGTCAGCAGCAGTGGTGGCTGAAGGAAGGCAAGGTGGCAATGGAATTGCTGGGGAGATTGGCTGGTGGGATATTCCATGCTCAGAGTGATTGAGATCATCAAGGAACGGGCACAGGCCATGGCACAGGTAATAGTGGCAGTAGTAGAGGGAGAAGGGACAACAAAGACCAGCCCTGCCCTATTCTGTGAAATCCCTTCAGGAGCTCTAAGTTTCATTTTGGCTAAAATCCAGAACTGCAGCAACAACTGTTTTATTTCTGAGTGTACTGAACTAGAACAGTTTGACAGAATTTCTGATATGCAATGTGTTTGTTTCACATTTAAAACAGGATGCATTTTCTGTTTTATGCATGCCTCTTGGGGTGTGTTCTTTATGTACATCAAAGCTTTGAACGTTCAGAATTCAAGAGGCTGCAACAAACTACTATCACCAAATGCTTTTCTAACTCTTGGATTTACACATTTTGTAGAATTCAAGGTATATTTTAATTATTTGGTAGATTATGTTTTCACCATATTATTGTAATCTGGGCAATATATAAAATACATGTAATCAACATTTCTTAATCCATGATCTACATGTAAGGTCAATTTGAATAGTTCCATGCATAGCCCACTAACCAGATCTTAACAGTTCCCAATGAATCAACATCATGCTGTTTTTGTACCTGTTTCAAAATTTTCACTCAAGCTATCCTGCACTAATAAATGCATACAGTAATCCTCAAAACCACTATCTTACATTTAGTCTCTCCCCATAGTAACATAGATATCTTGAGATTCTAGCGTGTTGTTTGCCCACTTCCTGTTTGCTCACACTGTTCCTCAGTAGATAAACTTAGTAGTTTATCAGGCCATTCTTGACACAAATACACTGTGTAACACATGTATTTCTTATCAATCAAAAGATGTATCAATATTTGAGAGCAGCAGCTATGCTATCTGCCACTGGGTGGAATTTTTTGATTTCAGGGTATTCAATATTCTTTTATTAGGTTTTTCCAGATTTTTTTTGGTAGGGTGCACGTATAGTTGTTCCACTGAATGTGTTCTACTTTCTGTAAACAGGTGGCATCCTTGTGATGAAGAAAAACTGGTGAAACAGGGAAGGAGAAACTTTGCCAAATCTCCTTTTTCTTTCCACTCCATTCTTTTAGGTACAATTTAAAGGTTGTACATTTCAGCTATGTTGGTAGGATGAACACAAAACTGTAGTGTACAGTTAAAATTCATGTTTAAATGTGGAACAAAACCCAATTCTGGATTCAAATTTTTGAAAACTGAAACAAACAAATAGAATAGTTATTTATGATATTTTAAATTTCAAAAGTCTTGTTTGTTTTGACTATGGCAGAATATAGACATAAAAACAGATAAATTGACACCTGGAAAATATTGTAAACTTTAAACTAACAGATACTACAAGATAAAAAATCCACTTTAATGCCCATTAACCCTAACCCTCACTCCAGTATTCTATGGCAGCCCTCAATTCCTGATGTTAACAAGTCTGAAAACCATTTTCTGTATCAATACACTGATGCATCACTTGCGTTAATCTACCACATAACATCATGGGTCAGTGCTACCTCTAGTGAGCTGCACTGTTGATGTAGGTCATCATCAGGTATGGTAAGAAGTTTTGGAATACTGTATCATACAGTATCCCAACATATACTTCTGTGTTCCTTGAGCTCCATCACATGTTCTTCAACTGACCATATTGCACAGTTTAGCACCTGGTTAAAGAATGAACTTTGAATTGTTGTATGGGGTCTCTTTTGGGAATATTACATGTCTCCTAATCAAATGTCTTCTTTGGTGACTCTTGTATTCTTAAAGAGCTTCTATATGACGCTCTTTTTCCAGCTCCTTTGCTTCAAAGGATTTTGAAACTCCTCATCTCAACAGTAGAACTTTGGAGTCTCTTTCTTACATCATTTATTTTAAGCAGTATGTTTCGCAACAACAGTCAGCCACACAGAAATTGGAAGGTACGTGTGTTTCTAGTGATTGCATTTCCCTCTGCCCCTGTTTTCCCATGAATGATTCCTGTTATTGTCCCCCATAATGGCAAATGTGGCATCATCCATCTCCCCAATTTAGTGTTTTAGGCATCATAGCCTCCAGTTTGCCTATTCTGCAGCATTCAGTGGTTTTAGAATGAGAAAGGATATTCCCCAGTGTCGCTTCAAAAATTGCCATTGCATCAATGCAGAGAAAAACACATACATGCTTTGAATTACATTTAAAATGTTAGTCTCATCAGAAGCTGCTGAATACATGGAAAGGGGAA